GGTTGTCTTGATCATTTTCAGCACCACTGCAAAGTAAATGCATTACATTTCACTAACAATGGGATACATGTTTTGAAATGTTTGATTTTTCTCAGGATAATCCAACAAAAACTGCTGCCTCTGTGTGTGGAAATTTTTATGTCACTGGGGACAGAGGGATTATGGATGAAGGAGGATATGTCTGGTTTGTTGGAAGAGGTGATGATATAATTAATTCTTCTGGGTAAGTTAGTTGCTTCTAGATGTGCTCATTTGCCCATTAAAATTCAATCTGCAAAGACCAATTGAATGGCTAGCTTGCTATGACTGTCATATCTGCATTTTCTCCTAGGTATCGTATTGGCCCATTTGAAGTCGAAAGTGCATTAATACAACACCCTGCAGTCTCAGAGTCAGCTGTGGTCAGCAGTCCTGATCCAATTCGAGGGGAGGTAAAAAGAGAAAAAAAATACAGAAAGAAATGCACTTTATTCTAAACATCAAGTTCCCTATAGGTACTAGGCTTCCTTGGAATTAAATATGTTGCAGATTTTTGAAATTAAAATGGGTTAAAAAATTATAAAAACATATCTTGACAGATCTTAGAATTTCAGAATTTTTTCCCTATTAGCAGAGTTTGATGTGGAAGAAAAGTTTGACTCTTCAGACTTCCTGTAGCATCTTTTTGTCTGAGAAATAGTATTTGGATTAGTTCTCTTTTTGTCACTAAGCACATAGTGGCAATGATATCCAGAGTGTTTAATTCTTCTTTTTATATTTTTCAACTTTGCAACACTTCTTTGACCCTTGGGGTGAGTCTTTCAGCTGTCTTTTTTTCTGTTCTACAGCTTTTTGAAAGTTTAGTCATGTATAAAGTTAAGAAGGAAAAAAAAGGTGGAAAAATAGCAAAAATCCTATGCTGGAGAGTATGTCCTTCATGACACTGCATTCTGTAATAAACCCATGAAAAGGGGAATCAAGAAAAAAAAATTTGCATTCTGAACATTGATACTCAATTTTGGCAACAAATATATCCCTTTATTGCCACATATGGAAGTTAATGGAGTCTCTTTTGTTGCACAGGTAGTCAAAGCCTTCGTTGTTTTAGCTCCTGCTTTTGTATCACACGATCCAGAAAAATTAACTCAAGAGCTTCAGCAACATGTCAAGAAGGTGACTGCACCGTACAAGTATCCGAGGAAGGTAAGTACACCACAGAAAGAAAGATCTAATTGTATAAAAAATTGAACAATTTTTGTCCTGCCTCAGTTTCTTTTCAACTGCATCCTGACAAACACTCCAACCATAATAGTTAAATAAAGTAAAATAAAAGTAAATTACAGGTTCTGTTGCAGCTGTGGCCTTGGTTCACTGTATGTGCTAGAAAGGACCCAAAGGGAGGAAATGGTAATGTAACTTCTCTTTAGCAGGGTCCAGTCTTCCTTTTATGAGATACTGTGGTTTTCACAGCAACTCACATGGGCCAGGCATTCAGCTCATACCAGTTCCTCCCTTGAGCTCTGTTCAGACTGTCAGCCAAAGCAAAAGGGAAGTTCCTACTGGCACCAGAGGGGTTGGAATCCATCCCTTACAACCAAGAAAAACGGCAGTAACTCCCTGGCCTGACAGCTGAAGCACTCATCTCTTCAGGACTGTGGTACTTGCCTCTGCAAGTACTGCCTGTGCAGTCAGCTAAGATGTGTAGTAACAAATTTCACCATCCCAGCCCCAAGCCATGTACCTTCCCATCTTTTTACTTCAGCCATAATAAAGGTGTGTCTTTCCTTGCACCTGGGAGATGAATCAGAATGTATTTGGCTAAAAGTGAGCATTTTTGCCTTTCAGGTGGAGTTTGTTCAAGATCTGCCAAAGACAACTACTGGGAAAATCCAGAGAAAAGTTCTAAGGAACAAAGAGTGGGGAAGAGTATAACATGATCTGGAAACTGAGAAGAGAAAATTTCCATCATCTGTACCAGCCATAGCACATCACACTTGGCATGTGGTCATTACCCAGAACACTAGGAGAACATATGGAAAAATAAGCTACGGGGGGGAAAAAAAGGAGATTATAATGTGTGGTTTGAGGATGTGTGGTATTAAAACCACTTCTGTCATCAACCTACAAATTTTCGGAAGGGAGAAGGTGCAAGTAATTAAGAATGAGGAATGGGAGAGAGAAGGGATGGATCAACGAGCTTACAAAGGTTTAAATTTTTTTACTGGAATTAGTATAAAAAGCTTCCTTAAAAAAAAAAAAAAAGTGTAACTACAACATTTTACAACATTTTGTTAATTACAAATAAATGAGAAATTAATAAAAATAATCTTTGTCCTGCAGTGAGTATCAGCAGTGAAGTGATATTCTCTCTTTAAAAACTATCACTGTAACATTCCCAAATTCTTTCTGAGTGGAAGAAGAAAGACGTATTCTTTAACTGCTTCTCTTCATCATGATGAATTTGTGATCTACTTAAATGGTTAAAATGAGGGAAAAGAGAAGATACAAAGTACTTTAGGTTAAGGTGCAAATTATGCACAATTAACGACGTTGTAAATTATTACAAGAAAAAGGTTACTTCACAGGAAGAATTGTGCTGCCTGGTCTGTTTTGTGCTATGTTCTGTTCTCATTACTTCAAAAGAAGTAAATGATAAAGTAGAAGGGGTTTCACTCCACATCCTTTTTGACAGTGTCCAGGTCTCATGTCTCCAGAAAAAGGCTAATCTTTGCAGTGCCTTGTTTGGGAAACACCTGTCCTGAAAGCTGAATGAGCCGAATGAAGAGGATCTGCCCCAGCCAGCTCTCAGTCTATACTGTCCACAGCAAACAGGTCAGGAAAACGTCATTTGTCTGAATTCCTAGTGTTGCTGATCATTGAGAAGAATTTGGAAAAATAATTTCTGATTCTTGCAGCAGTTCGGAGGACTGTGTCTTCTTGATACTTCTTTTCTTACTTCATTTTCACCTCTAAGTTTGCAGATGAAATGGTGCTAAAAACTGTTGAAGGCGCTCACTGCAAAACTTTGCAGACATTTTTGTCGACCACTGGGGAATCCTGGATTTAAAATGTTTTTCATCTTGCCACTCTTTAATACCATTTCCAGTCTTCAATGCTGTTCCTGAATGTTCTTTCTCTCCTCTCACGGGCTATTTGGTAGATTTTGTCATTGCAGTGCTCCGAAATATGTAGATTATAGCTAAATCATAGGATTAGAGCAGACTAAGAAATGAGAAATATCTTACTATGTTATTAAAAAGAATAATAAAAATCTTTAGGCTTTTCTGTTAAAGAAATCAAAGTGGATCCATTGTTTTTTAGCACTAACAGTACAGGTCACAACCTCAAAGAAAGGTTACATTTAACAAAAATCTTAATACTTTTACTGACTTTTGTTTTCTTGAGTAAGAAAAAAACCAATAAAAATTAATGTATATCCTAATGATATAAAACCCCTTATTAATGTGCATTTTCTATGAACAAATGTAGGGAATGTTAAAGAGACCATTTTTCACCAGTAAAACTTTTTTAGATTATTTTTTTCCACCAGGTCTTGTTAATAGAGTTTTGATTTAAAATGTAAGTATCACATAAGTAAGTTTCTGCTCTATAATCCTGATTCTGAAGTGGGTGGCACTTAGGGACATAATAACAATTTTCTATCCATGTCCTGTGATTCTTTTCTGAGGAGCAAATGTGATAGCATATAGGATAATTTACAGCTGGTTGGTATTTCTCTACTACAGTCTCCACATAGCATGGAGAATACCGTGCATTACTGTTGAGTTTGGCAAAGCATCTGTTCTAGGGGTAAAATCTGCATCCAGATTTTTTATGCTGTCAGGTGTCACTGAAAAAATTAAGTTGTGCAAGTTCTAGGTATTTGAGTTTATTCACCTGATAGGCAGATGAAGTAGTTCTGTAAAAGCTCATGCTAAGGAATAAGGAAATAATGCCACTGTTAAATAAGTTACTTTTTCCTGGGGAATAAAATTTGACCAAAACTGAGATCCATTTATCAGAGAAGTAAGGATAAGTGGTTATGGTTGAAGGCACGGAACAAGAAGTAAATGAATATAAAATGTACTTAAAAACCTGGGACAAAGGGCAAAACTTTTTAGTTTTGCTCAGGCCACAGGAATTCCACATGGAAAATTATTTAATTGAGTGTTTACCTATAATTTTATTCCTAGTTTTGTTCCTAGCTTCATCCTTTGTAAGAACAGAAAAGAAAATTAACCTGTATTTCAACGGTCACTCACCTAACCTTGTATTGAGTTTAGTAACTTGTGTTTGGGGTTTGAAAAAGGAAAATCAATAGATAGACCCAAGTTTTAGAATCATCATAGGCCACCAGGACTCCACTGGCTCCTGTCTGACTGCAGCTCTTCCAGACACAAGCCAGTTTTGTTTTGTTTTGGTTTTTTCCCCCATATTTGATAATCTTCATGTGCACTTATGAGGAGCCTCTAAACAGCATTAAAATTTTTAATTGAGCACAGTTCTGAAGCAATCTTCTCGAATGCTGAAAATAATAATAATGGTAATATAAAAAGAGAGAAAGAAAGGAAAAAGATGAGTAGCAATGGAAAAGAAGAAGGTAATTGTACTTAAAAGCTTTTAGGATCATTATGGTGAGTACAGATGGAAGAGGTGTCTATGTAGAGAGACAAATGTGGAAGCATCTAAATTAAATTTGGGGACCTACATAAGGGATCACTGAAGTGAAAATTCTTGGGATAGATGTGGTGGATGGATACGTCAGTCAGCAACTGTAAAATCTAAAGCAGGGAGAATCTTGATGGAAGCAGTCAGTCCTTAAAAAGCTGGTGGTAAAAAATATAAGCAAGCAGCATGGGGAACTTCACATTTAATTGAATGGTTAAAAACAGTCATTTGGTTGTGACTAGCCTAAGTGACTTCAATTAATAACTCATCAATTCAGAACTGAATTGTCTTTGGATAATCTCAAGATTAATTTCTCTCCCCTCCCCCCCCATTTTTTTTGTTGCAGGATTCATAACAACAATTCTGCTAATTTTCTTACATAGTCTGCAGCATCTACATACATCATCTTCTGCCATGAAGTTGTTGTTTAAATTACAGACTCTAAAATCCTTCTGGACTCTGAAGCCTCCTAATAGGACTTTTCATGGACACCCCAGGCTGCTTACCTCTGATGTATATTCACAGTACGAGTCAATCAGGCGAGGTGAACAGGAAATACCAAAGTACTTTAATTTTGCAAGTGACGTACTGGACAAATGGTCTGAGATTGAAAAGGTAGATGATATTTTGTGCGCAGATGAAATACTTTAATTCAAAATTTAATTTTAAATAAGTTGGGGTTTTTTTTCTTTATTAAAAAAAAAATCAGTTGCAGAAACCAGTTTGCATTAGGAAATTATACAAAAATCTCATTCTTTCTTTATTTTATAAGTGTCTCTGACCCTTGGTGCTCCCTATGTAGGTAGAAAAAGCAAAGAGAGGTCCCTTTTGACTTTGATTTAACCTTGGAATGGCTGTGCTTATTCCTTCTGTGTACTATAATATTAGATATTCACATCATAAAAATACAGGTAACATAATGGTAACATTGCACGCTAGGGAAAGTTCTCCCACAAATGTTTAATTGCCTTGCTCCAAAGTGGATTCTGCATTTGTCAGGATGCCCTGTAGTTAGTGACCACTTAACTCCCCTCTTCCTGAGCAATCAGACTAGAAGGGGTCCTGGGATACCGTGTTTTCATGGTGTTTTATTTTGCCCTCTGCCTGTGCTGCTTCTGTTTAATAGTGTTCCACAACTCCATACAGAATATCAGAAGTATTATGTAAAGTATTTAATGTTATTTGTTATTTTGTAGGAGCATTATGCTCAGCATAAGACTTAAACCGAAATGGGATCCAGACTAGGACTTGTGTCTGGAAACAATTGGGCTGGTAAACATTTCAGGTTCAGAAAAGTAGAATTTCTTGTGAGTACCTGAGCTTGATCCATAACAAATCTCGATCAGTTAAGGACAAGGGAAAAATAATAGCTTATGTGCCAGTTGTGAAATACTCAAATCTTCCATAATTTGCACATATTTGTGTATTATAATTTCATGGTCTTTCAGAGGAAAATGTTTTGGTTTTGAATCTCTGTGTTTTGTAGGCTGGAAAGAGATCATCAAACCCTGCATTTTGGTGGATAAATGGAAAAGGAGAAGAAGTGAAGTGGAGCTTTGAGGAGCTTGGGTTCCTGTCTCGGAAAGTGGCCAATGTGCTGACTAAAGTATGTGGACTGCAGAAGGGGGACAGAATGATTGTGATCCTGCCGCGAGTCCCAGAGTGGTGGCTGGTGATTGTGGCTTGCATGCGAGCAGGTCAGTGAGCATATCTGAGACTGGTAAAACTGGTTAATGCAAATCACTTGAGAGGATCAAGAATGTATATGGTTTACAAAGGAAAAGTATTGTAATAATCTCTTGAGTGGCCTAGCTACCAATTATGCAGGCAGTCCTGAAGGATTTGCATTAGGTGCCATAGAATAGGTGGCCTGTGCAGCAGGCATGGAGGTGACAGAAGGCAGTGGAGAGCCGTGGAAGACACCAAACAGGTCCACATTTCATTCCTTACAGGAGAGTCCAAGCAGCTGCATTATTCCATTATAACTGCTTGGCTTGGGAGTGCCAGGGCAAATTAATCTCAAAGGTCAGTTCAAGAATAGTTAATAGTTTAGGTTCTTAGAAGAGAATCACATGTGAAAAATGCCATCCCAAACTAACTTTATTGCTCTTCCAGGAATTGTCTTAATTCCAGGAATATCCCAGTTATCAGCCAGAGACATACTATATCGACTCCAGGCGTCAAAGGCCACGTGCATCATTACTGATGACACACTGGCTCCTGCTGTGGACTCAGTGGCATCTGAGTGTCAGTTTCTGAAAACGAAGCTAATCGTATCCAAAGGCAGTAGGGAGGGATGGCTGAACTTCACTGACCTGCACAAGTGAGTATGAGTTAGTGACACTGCAGTCATGATGCAGAAAGCAGACGTGTTCACCACAAAAGCTTATTTACAAGCATCCGTTAACTACAAATACTCATCAAATACCAATATTAAGGTATTAATAGTGACTGCTTGATTGCTGATCCACATCAGAGTTGTTTACTAACAGTGGTCTTGTACTGGGAAGTTTCTGTCCTGTTCTTCTTAAGGGGAAGTCTGTGTTTGAGGAAGTATAACTCCATATTATTTTAGTCTAATTTGGTGAAAAGCTGCTGTGAAGCTGATTTGGGACAGGAGTTCTTAAATATGCAGTACTTCATTACATTCTGAAGGCTGTGTAAAACAACCATTGAAGTCACAATTACATTCTCTCTTTTAAAGAAACCAATTGGATGACCATTCCTGCGTCAAAACAAAGATGCAAGACTCAATGATGATCTTCTTTACCAGTGGAACCACAGGTTCTCCAAAGATGACTGAACATTCCCAGGGTAGTCTTGGTTTCAGACCTCTTTTAAGTGAAAGGTATGAAAAGCTTGGGCCTGGTTGAACATGGGATAATTGAAGCTGCATAGTAGAACTGATGAAAAATTACTGAATAAGAAATACCAATGTGCCAGTCCTTCTCCCTCTGGAATCGGACTAGAAACTCCAGCAGATTTCTAGGGAAGTAGGATCACCCATAGTGTTTGTATTTTTGAATTAATATCTCTTACCCTTTCTTTAGAGTGGTTCAAAGGACAACCATCAGCTGGGAATACTATAATGCAAAGAACCAAGAGATACCATGCTGTTTGGGCTGCCAAAAGCTTTGTGTCATGTAGATGAGCAGAGGCAGAGTTTATGTTGATGGCACAGATCACCTTGGTTCCTCGGCATCCTTCGAACTGAAATACCTGGTGTCCAGCACAGCATCCATAAATACTCCTGCTTCAGCCCTATCTTCCTACCTAGGGGAAAGTTACTTTATTGAAATTCAGACTCCTCT